GGGGGCAAGTAAGCATATTCTAGCTCTCATACTTTGTGATTTTTAGCTATGAGAATACTAACTTAAGCATCGGAGCGACCTCGTCGGGTTAGCCACCCCGGGTCTTCTAACATTGATTCATTGTAGGTCTCTAAAAAACTATGAAGCTCAACAATCAATCCAGCTCGCCACCAGGCAGCTCGGCCCTCTGGTCAGCTCGGCACCTAATAGGCAACTTGGCCCTCTGGTCAGCTCGGCACCTAATAGGCAACTTGGCCCTCTGGTCAGCTCGGCACCTAATAGGCAGCTTGGCACTCTGGTCAGCTAATCACCTAACCTGCCTAGCTCGGCCCAGTCAGCTCGTCACCTAACCTGCCTAGCTCGGCCTAGTCAGTTCGGCACCTAACCTGCCCAACTCGGCACCTAATCTGCCCCCAGCTCGATCTGGTCAGCTCGACATCCAGGTCCTCATCCAGCAAAAGTTTACTTCGGCCTCTAAGTCATCGACTACTTGAAAACAGAACAAATGAACATCAATAGACATTGCCCATTGCCCAAGAGGTGATGAGGTCCAAATTCTCTCTCTAGTTGTAATTCTATCTTCTTTGTTTAAAGCACAAAATATGCACATAAGTGGATTTCTTTTTTTTTTTCTGCAAGGAGCTCCAAAACTCAAGAATCTGGATTCTATAACCCAACCTTATATCATTTCACCAAAATTCGCTACTCGAAATCTCATAATTAGATTGCAGGTTGCAAATGGAATATAATTGAACTTTATTGTAAAATGAGTAGTCATAAAAAAAAAAAGAAAAAGAAAAAGTAAAGTAGGTGCATTAGAACCCAATCCAAATGCCTGCTTAATTAGATTTTCATTAAAATTTCGTTCTAGCTAGCTAGCTAGAACTCATATTCTGCAATCATATCCAAGCACCATCTGTAAATCCAATTTAAAGAAAACTAAGAGGTTTATTTGCTCAATTAATTTGGTTAACAAAAGTTAAACTCTAGATTAATTCTACAAAGTGAGCTGCGTTTCACAGTTCCCTATTTAATTAAACGGCAGACTTTACGCTCCATGCACATTTCTGTCTGTAAAATTAGGCATTGCTTTGCATTCTTTCAAATAATCATTTATGGTGATTCTGATGGTCTCGGTATAAGAATCACTGTTAAGTTTAGAACTTTATATATAGAAGAATGACCTGATCAGTCCTTTTTAAGATCAAAACTCATTCAAAACTAATTGGGTACCAAATTTAATTGATATAATTAGCCAGTTCCTCATGACAAGTTCTACTAGTCTTTTGAGGAGTCCCATGCTAGAGTCCAACTCCAAAATGACTCGATTACAATGCAAAACATGGCACAGAATGAACCTCTTATATCTAGAATATGGTTCTAGTTATTAGAATCTGGTGTTTCATTCGAATTCGAAGTATAAAGTTCAATATTTAGTATATTTTGATGCCATTTTTTAGTCTTTCAACCTGATTTTACCATTTTAAAAGCTGATTTTGGTGCATGGAATGATGAAAAAAAAAGCATGCTGATTCAGAACTATATAATTTGGCATGCACAGAGGATATAAAACAAAAATAAAATAGAATTTATAAGAATTTGAAGTGAAAAAGGAGAGTTTTGAGTAGAAAAGAACCCTAATATGCATAAAGAAATGGGTAATTGGTATTGAATTGAAAGATTTGTAATGGACACATGATTAGCTCAAATTTGCACCGTGATCAAATGAGGCCAGCTGAAAGAAACTAAGAAAGAGCATGTGGTGTTCTTTTTGGCTGCCAACTAGCAGATGTGTTACCAGTATAGGAGCCGACCAGGCCAGACCAGATCCCAAAACATGAACTCAAATTGGATGAACATGGCCACAACACCCGTAATATATAAGCAACAATGGCAGATAAATTTAGGGTATTGGGAGATACCCAAATGAATCTAGAGAAGAAAAGGTTGGGGTGCCCTAGAATTGATCAGAAAGAGTAGTGTGTCAATGTGTCAATGTGCAAGCGTTTGAGCAATGACAACACCAGCCATTTCTACAACACTTGGCTAGAGCCCAACTCCTTAGCAAGGACAAATGTACATGTATGGGCATATAATACAGATTGCCCAAACCTCAACTCTACTAATAAGTACTCATGATATATCTGTCTATCTCTCATATATACTTGCTAACTAAATACCATCTTTATACATAATATATATATATACACAACAATATAATATACATAAACTATTTATTTTAGTTATTACACATATTTATTTGTATATATAAAAAAAACATATTATAAACTGAAGGACATGATCATCATCGCCTTTTCTTCGTGCAGCTCCACCTTTTTCATGGCCGTCCATGATGGCGATCCCTTCTTTTGCCCCACTCGTGAATGGAGAGATGAAGCTTCTTGGCAGCAACCAGAAGATCTGCGGCCTGCAAGGGTGTAAGGATGTTGATCAGTTCCTTAAGTGTGCTCAGCCTCAGCTTATCGGCCTCCTCCAGGATACCCGCCAAGGCAAGCGCATGCTCGTCCAGGGTGGTGTCTACATGCTCGATTGATGCGCCGATTAGGCCATACTCGTTGGCCTTGGTGAGCAGTGGCTGGTCGGCTATGTCTTCCTGCAAACTCGCCATTTGGGTAGACAGCTTCTCCTCCTCTCGAATGGTCCTGCACTGAAGATCGTTCACCAGGCTGAGTTGCCTGGCGGAAAGCTCCCCAAGGTTTCCCTTCCTCACCCCTTGAAGGAATTCGTTGAGCTGGGCCTCGAGCTCCGAGCCGCATAGGGAGTAAACGAGTCGGATGGCGAGGGAGGGCCTGCACCCGGCAATCCAGAGGAAGGAATTCTCCAGGGAGGTGCACCAGGAGGGTGCAAAGAAGGAAGTAGCGTTCTCTCTGGCCAGGATGCTTCGCTTCTCGGTGTACTCTTGGAAATGCTGGATGTTCTTTTCGACGATAAGGTTGAGATGGGTGTCATCGCCTTTGTATATGGTGAGCGCTTGGAGCAGCTCCTCGAGGTCAGCTTGCTGTTGGGCAATCCAGCTCTGAAAGCAAAGATGGGGTTGATCTAATTGCGCTGAAGAGCTTGCCATTTTCATCAGTTTGCTTCCTTATTGTTTTCTACTTGTGGTGGGAAGAGTGGCCTGGATATATATATGCGGTATGCGGATACAGATAGATTCTCTGAAAATGGGGGCAGTAACGAGAAGATCGATGTGAGTTTTAACTTTTTAATGTGAAAGTTTGGCTTTTCTGTCTCTGTTCTCACTCACAAGAGGGGAGAGGAGAGTGGGTGCTGTGTATCTACACTCCACATTCCATGGTCTATTGGACCTTGACAACTTTTGGGCCAACCCGGCCGCTCTGGTCGGCTTGTAGGGTCAGGATTGTAGATGCTCGGGCTTCAGAATCAGCAGACTAGTTTGTCTGTCTGACGAGAAAAAGAAATTAAAAACTCCATCTGGGACGGGGACTTTTCATCAACCTCAACCATGCGTGATGCATGTATGAGTATGATCGATCCAAGGCCAGAGAGGCCAGACCCTTTACTCTGTTTGGCCACACCACCTCACCCCACCCTCCCTCCCTTTTCTGGGAGCTGAATTTGAACTGAAGCACAGGCTTTTGCCCAGCATATACAAGTTAATGATTCGCATAAAATTAAGAAGCAGCACTCAAGGGCGCTAGAGGACGACGGCCCACCGGTGCTTTGCTTTCTCATTAAAGAACATCAGATGAGAAAGAACACAAAAGTCTCTCTCTCTCCCTCTCCACGGTCTACGAGGCTCTGAGTCAGGTTGGGCCATGGAGAGCAACACGTGGTCTGAAGGAAGCAAGGCATAAAGCCAGAAGGCCATGCATGCAAAAGGCAAAACCAACGGCGCAAGAAGCTTGGTTTTGAGTTCGGGAGTGCCGAGTGGTGGGCTCACTGGATCAGTGGCTCTGCCAAACCGGATAATGCTTTCAGCCACGTGATTGGATCACGTGCCAGAACCCATTAAAATGGTGGGTCCGGTTCCTGAACACCCGGTCTATTTATTAAGTGATGATATCAATTAATTCGAGCTCTATGTTTCGGAAACTTAGCCAACATTTGGCAACATACATATATCGGGTTGAGTGGTCCTATCTCCTATGTTGCAAAAATATCAAAGGATGGACTGGACTCTGGACTCTGGAGTAAATACCAAATCGTTCTGTAAATGAGGAGGAAATCACGTGTATTAAATATTCTTTTTTGTTGGCAAACTGGGTTGGCTTCTTACAACATCAGGTTGGAGTTGGGCCTAGAGTCTGCCCCATGGTTTTTTAACCACTGTTGATCTGATGGTCAGACCATTTGGCTCGGAAACTGTCCGGTCAATCAGTTCTGTTTTACTCTCGAACCAGAATATTCTCATAACCTGTTGATTTGGGTCAGCGACCCGTTGACTTAGGTGGCCGAACCGTTGATCTGTTCAATTTGGATAATGGTTTTGGTCAATTTCCTATTTTAATTAATTTTTTATATTTTTATTTTTTTTAAATTACAATGAATCATCCGTTTGGATCAAATGGTTGAAAGAATTTTATAATGCATTTGGCTCAGATAATATCCTTACGTGGTAATTTTTTTTTCGTTTTCTTCGTCAATGGGTCAGTTTTACTCAACCGGTTGAACTGAGTCGAATAGGTTATATTGGTTTTGGTTCTATAATTTTTGTGAAAATTATTTAATTGATTTGTTCTAGTTTTTGTTGATTATTTTGTTAATAATATATAAAGTTTTTTTTTATTTTTTAATGTTTATAATATTTTATGTCTAAAGGGGTAAATTTAGTTTTGGTTAAAACACTTGATCTATTAACACAAATAATCTATTATTTTATTATTTTTTATTAAGTTATATTATTAAAAATTAAGTTTTAAGTTGCTATAGGTAAATAATTATAAATGTCAATATCATGGTTTTCAAAATCGGACCGGAAAAATTAGGAACTAGTCAGGTGACCGGTTTCGGTTTTCCCTGAAACTGGAAATTTGCCCAAAATCATTGATTTTGATCAGCAAACTGCTGACCTAAGCGATTAACCGTTTGAACAGTTTTGATCATTTTTTTTTTAATTTTTTTGTTAGAATAGGCCGACTATTCGGTTCGAACAGTTAGACCATTCAACCCAATAATCGGACCCTTGACCGATTCAGTCTCCAAGTCGTTTTTAAAAACCATGGTCAATATAATCAGGTCAGATCGGAATATCTTGATTAATAATAAATTTGGAATCAATACATATTGCGGGTAGTGATATTTAATTGCCTGAACTTTCAAGCACCACATCTTAGTATTCTAAAACTTAGAATATATTTTGAGTTTAACTTTGTTAAAGCTAACATTACAGTGAGGGTAAAATTACAAAAATGTCTTAATTGTAACGTTATACTTTTGATGGACTTAAGTGTATATTTACTATTAAAATGTTTCATTTGAAAGTTAGGCATCACTACAAGATATACATTTATAATTTACCCATAAATAAATGAAATAAAGTTTTGAATGGTGGTTTGAACGTGAGGCCGCCTGCCTATTTATAAAAATATGATGTTAAAAAATTTATATTATCCAGATGTAGAATTAAAGCAACCCAAAATGAGACCATAGAAGTGCAAATGGATAAGGTCTTGGAACTAACCCCCACCTAGGCTGGTTTTAAGGTGATTTAATCATTTTTTTCAATTTAATATTTGAATGTATATAATAAGTGATGTTGTAACTAGGGAGATAAGGCAGTAGATGATGGTCTCCCTAAAAGATAGAGGATGACCGGAGGTCTGTGTGGATGAGGAGATTCTTGGGGAAAAAAGGAGATAAGGGAAGGAAGCAGGAAGGCTAGAATGCAAGGGCTCTCTTAAAGCACTCGAGACTGATCTCATGTGGAGGTCTTCGAGTCTCTCCCTTTTATAGAGAGATTCAAAAGACTATAATGAGGAACAATATGCGAATAAAGATTTTTCTTATTAAGAAAGTGGATCATGATTCTTTGACTATCTAGCAAGTAAGCCTTATTGGAGTTTTGCCACGTGTCCAATGAAGATCTTTTGAAAATGAACTTCCCCCCTCTCTTAAAAACTACAACCCTTTTACACATAATCGCAGTCACATGTTAAGAATAGGGCTTTTGGGGTGATGGCATGTCTTAGTGACATGGCCCATCGTGATGCACCAAATTGTCACAGGCCATCACAGCTAAGAATGAGACGAACTCTGTTTGCTAAAGCTTCAAGTGTAAAGTGGCCATGAGCAATGCATATAGAACATCACAGGCGTAAATGGTCATGTTCGTCACTTCAGAGTAGTTCCTAATCATCGCAAAAGTCTATGATTGTGTTTGCTTGGCAAATTTGTAGACAAGCACAATGCTTATTGTAAGTACTATGGTGATTAACTTTCCATCATCATGATCCTCGTCGCAATCCTTATGATACTGATTTACATGTACTTACAAATGTAAAAAATAATATTTATAAAATTTAAATTATAACAATTAGCTTTGGGCATTATTATTATCATTGAAAATCAAGTTTTTAAATAATAGGTTCCATGCATAAACGCTATAACCACCAAGGCCAAAACTAACCATTGAACAGATCTTGATAAGGCAGGTTTTGGTTTCAAAAACCTTTTTGCCTTGAAACCAAACTAAACCAACCCATTCTCACCCCTAATGTAAAGCAGCCTTGGTTGTGTCCATCGAACATATAGGGCAAACTATGGGGGTCTGTGTTGGTGCATAATCTGGATTTTCAAACTAAATTATGGGGGTTTGTGTTTGTTAAGCAAAACCCTAAGACAAGTTAGCTTTGCTTTATAAGGATTGCTAGCCTTTCATTAAAAGGGATAAATAAATTTAATTTTTAAACACAAAAAATATTATCACGGTGAATTGCACTCTAAAATCGTGTTGTTTCTTTATATTCAAATACCACCAATCATCAATTCAAACCTTATTTAAGAGTATCCTCAATGAAATATATAATTCAACCTAAACGCTTCAACCTAATATTAACTATCAGGTACACACTTGTAGCATAAAATAAAATAAAGGGTAAATTCCCTATTAATACCTTTAAGCATAGTTTTTAAAAACGAACCGGTCAGGGGTTTGGTTACCGGTTCGAACGGTCCGACCATTTGACCTGAACGGCCAGCCCGTTTTGACAAAAATATAAAAAAATTGAAAAACAGTCAAAATCGTTTGAACGGTTCGAATGGTTTGAGCAGTTCGAATGGTTAATCGGCCGGTTCAGCGGTTTGCTAACCAAAATCAACGGTTTTGAGGGAAAAAGTGGTTTTGGAGGAAAACGGAACCACGTCAGGTGACCGGTTCCCGGTTTCTCCGGTCCGGTTTTGAAAACAATGCCTTTAAGTCTAGTGTCACTTTGGCCCTCAAACTTTAAAATGCGACAATTCAATACCCAAACTTTCAAAATGTGTCAATTTAGTACATATCCTTTCAGTTTTGTGTATCACATGATATCATGTGCAACTTAAAACTTTTAAAAATATCAAAATTACCCTTAAAAATAAAACACTATTCATCATCTTCTTCCTCTTCTTCTAGAAGATGTGCAATTTCAAACTTTTGAAAATGTCAAAATTATCTTTAGAAATAAAACACTATTTATCATCTTCTTCCTAGAGAAATGAAACAGATGTGTAATCCCATCTGATTTTCTGCCCAAATTCTTTTTCGAATGCATTTCAAATCCTCAGGCATTCTTCGTAGCCTATTAGTTGAGCAGATTTCAACTGCGTTGATCCGAGAGGCTCTATTTCCTGGAGACGGTATTGGGCCTGAAATTATCGATTTCGTAAAGCATGTTGGTTCGGTGAACTGGATCATACTTCATTGATTGCCTGTTGACTGGCCTTTTTATGAAGCATGCATTCCAATGCTATGAACCGAAATGAAAGGATTTCATTAGAGTCAGAAATGCAGGAAAATGATCCTCAAACCTTGCCTGGTCAAGACTCACATTACAGGAGAGTCTTGTAAAATCTACTCACGAGGATCGGTGCTTTGATTCTCCATCTAAGCTTGAACATCACTATTTGTAGCTCGAGTACCCCCATGGGATCTTGGGTTCCAAAACACTCCAACGAGAAGGATTCATTCCAGTACAGGTCGTCACTGATTGATGGGATTTCTTGACTATTAAGCCGGACTCTCCCGTTGTTTCCAGCAGAGAGATAGAATC